ACTCATCGCAAGCAGCGGCCGCGCGAGAAGCGCCTTGTGGCATGGCGTCACGCCCGGCACGGGGCGCCCTTCCGCAGCCCGCGGGGCCCCGAACGCCCCGGGCGGGCCGAGCTAGCACAGCGGGTGGGTCACGAAGCCCACCGGAGGTCCTCGGGCAGCGATTCCACGCTAAACGCCCACCATCGTCTAAGCCGCCCTAGACGATAGACTAACGCGTCCTTAGCGAATAAAGATTGTCTGTTTCTTCCTTTCTATTCCACGCATACACAAAACGAACGGTTCATTATTCGGGATTCGGACAAATGATAATTGAGGGGGTTGAACGATGGTCGAACGATATCTGACGCTGCGTTCGGCATGTTCCGGGCCACTGTGGAAGAAACTGAGAGCACTTCGCTGTACAAACTTGGGGTCGGCGGTCTCGAAAAGTCACTCCATGTCGAGCTAGAGGCAGCAGAAGTCGAACACGCCACGGTGGGCGCGTCGCGCGGCGCTGGGGGGCGGGGAACAGAGATCTCAGCTTCTGCGTGTTCCCCCACGAGACGGACTGAAGTTTCAGGATCTCTGACCCCGAGTTCCTACTGCGAACTACTCTCGTTTTCTTCCCCTGTGAACCATAACATGCCCAACGCAGCGCCAGAGATCGTTGGACCATGCTCGAAACTCAGAGCTCTGAAATCTCGCCCGACCAATGGGATCAGCGGATTGGATTCTTGGATAATATATTTCGTTCTATTACCGAGATAGCCTTTCGAAACTCGTCGAGGCGGGCGTCACGGCCGCAGATGTACGCGTGGGGCGTCATCGGCAGCCGGAGCGCGCCGCGCCGCGCCGCGCGACTCGGAGGAAAGCGTGATCCCCGCCGCACACTGTGGCACGTAGCCTCGTGGCAGCCTTGCGCCGTCGTCGTCGTCCTCGTCATGGCGACGGAGTATGCGGCCGTCGCGGGTCTGGACCTCTTCGACGACGGCGTCGAGAAGCCGGCGTGGTGGCAGACGATGAGCGACGATAGGGAGATAACTACGCCGCAGCTCAAAACCACACCGCTGTCCACGGGGTATCTGTGCGGTCTTGCCCGGTCGCCGCAAGGAGCAGGCCATCGTCTGGCTGAACAGCAAGGGCCGGGAGGAGACGACGCTGACGTTCGGGGCGATCTGGGCGCGGGCCGAGGGCATCGCGGGCGCCCTCGGCGGCGCCTGGGGCCGGCGGCCGGGCAACCGCGCGATGGCGTGCTACGCGCCGGGGCCGGCCCGCGTACGGGAAGGTTCACCTGATCTGTTGCGGCGAGCATCAGGCCGTTGCCGCAGGACGGGCACCCCATGCCGCCGCACTCGCACATGTCCGCGCTCGCGACGTCCATCGCTTGGGCACATTGGCTGGTCAAATAATCCACCTGTTACGGGATTATTTCCACAAAAAGTGTCATGATGAATTACTTGAACGACGGATTGACTGCGAATTAGTTCAGGAATCATAATTCCGAAAGTAATCTTGTCAACTTTGGAAACATCACCATTGTAATCAAAATTAGACTCGTAGGACATCACAAGAAGTTATATAAAATTATGCTTATACTTCTAAATCATTTTTATAAGAGATTTATAAAAAGATATAATTTTAGAAAAAAAATGATTGCTTCGGGATACTAATTAGGAAGGTCAATAAATTAGATTAAGTAAAATGGAAAAGTATCAGGATTTGAAGCATTATACTAACAATGTTGATAGTGATGATGAAAGTGTTCACTGGCATTCAAATTCTGTTTATGATGAAACTTCTCCTTGAAGGAGCAAGTCTTGTTGATTGTGTTTGGAGATCATTATTGCATTTGAATAAAATAGATTTAAAAACGTTAACTAGAGAATCTAATGGAGAATGGACAGATTTGCGATATGCATTTCATAAAAAGATCATGTAAATCCATGGTTTTACCATTATCAAATTTATGTGTTAAGTGGTAAGTAAATACGTCCAGTTTCCATCCTTTGTTAGGCACAAATTTTAATCCTTTTTGTCCACATAATCTAGTGGCACGACCCATAGCTTGACGGAAATCAGCCTTTGTAGTTTGTGGCTCAAATATGTGCATATATTTGACATCATACAAATCAATGCCTTCCTTGTATCCATTGTCGACTAACATAATGCGCACGGAAGAACCATGTACATTTCCAGGTCTTTCGTTAAACATGCCAAGCATATTCTTTTTGGCGGACTGCGATACATTTAATCCAAATAAAGTTGTGGAAATCATCATTCCATAACCACTAAATTTTTTGGAAGAAGGTTCTATTAGAACTTTTGTTTTATCTTTGGCCACCGAGGCACGCCGGGCATCCCGCGCCGCCGCAGATGATGTACGGCACGTAGGTTCTTTACAGTTATACGGTTGCGCAGACGCCGCCGCCGTCGCCGTCGCGGTAGAGCCCGGAGACGCTGTCGAGGGCGCACACGTCGCCGCCCTCGCGCAGCGCGCGCAATGGTGTCTCGCCGTCGCGCGCGAGCGCGACCCGCACGGCGACGCATAGCGCGCGCGGCGGCCACATCTGTCCGTGATGTTGCCTGTGCGCGCCCAGGCCCGGCGCGCAGCGCGCGGCAGCCCATCGCGCCAATGAATCTTCGACGATCGGTGAGTGCAAAATTCACCTCGCCGTCGCACCGCCGTCGCGCCTCAGGCCCGGCGACATGGTCTCCGTCGCGAGGACGCCGGTCGGCAATTCCATGAGAGCCTCACGACGGCGCGGACGCGCAGGGGCTGCCCCGACGACGGCGCGCTCCGGAGCTCGTAGCAGCCCCGCAGAGGCCCGCGCTGCCGGCTCTGACTTAGGGCAGTGACGCCACACCTTCGTAGGCGCGTTGAGACAAGAAACGACTGCAACGCACCGCACACCGGCGCGTCGCGCAGCCGACAGCGCAGGTGGCAGGAGCTTGCTCATAAGGCCAAGGTCCAACGCAATCCAGACGGCACTTGGGCAGAGTTTACGCGGGCCTAAAACGTGGTAGTCTTCACTCTCCTGCTACCATCGTGTGGCTGGGAGCTTGAGGGGAAATGGCAGTGTTCCTGACTTAGACTGAAAATGGAAAAGTGAGATGGGGCTGCTGAGCAGCCCTGATTCCCAACAGGAGAGGGTTACTCTATACTGTCTTAAAGTGGAAAAGAAAGAGAGAAAGGGAAGGAAATTGGGAAAAAGGAGGAAGGACCCCCATACTAAAGTGGGGACCTCAGTCTCATGAAGATATGAGACTGCAAGGTAGGGAGAAAAGGGAGAATAAGCACAGTGGGGCAGATACAGGAGAATCTTCCTCCTGAGCTCCCCCTATTTGCCAAACTGCTATAGATTTTCTCACATATACTTGTGGTCGGACTCGGGAAGTTCAACATCGGACAGGCATGCAACTGCTTCGGCTAACTTAAATTCAGATGCACCATTATCAGCATGAACTCCATACTTAATCATGAACCAACCAAGGGGTCAGGGCAGTAGTGTGTACGCCGCCAGTGAGCAGTATGACTTGCACGGTGCAAACTGTGGGTTCTCCACACCTATGCGCAAGTCATGACACGCTGCACTGATTGTTTTGATGATCTCTTTATCGTCGACTGGTCGATCGCGCATACCTAGTAGGGTCGTAAACTGTTGGCTCAAGTGAGTGCCCAACAGCTTAGTGAATCCATCAGCAGGATTAATCTTGCCTGGAATCCACGCTGGACGCACGATACCCTCATTCTGATAATCGCGAATGCGAAAGTCTCGCAGTGACACAAACTTCGACTTGGGAGTAGTTAGTGGATGGTTCGCAGTAGACAAGGCTGCTTGATTATCCACTAACAGTGGAATACTAGCAAGAGGTCCAAAAATTTCCTCACTGCTTGCAAAAATGTTGTGAAACCACTTGCATTCATCTGCGCAAGTAGCAGCTGCTATCAGCTCAGCTTGCATGGTAGATGCTGCGGTGAGTGTTTGTCTTTTTGTGTGCCAAGACACAAGATTGCCAAATACATACACGCAGAATCCCGACGTAGATCTGAGTTCTCCATCCGTGCTATCAGCCCAATTGGCATCACTGAAGGCTACACAGGGTGATGCCTGAATGTCTGCAGTTACTTCTGCTAGATCAGTCTTTGAGTACTGATCCAACAGCTGAGAGACTGCACTGTTCTTACAGGTGTATGTCAGTGCACGTTCTCTGGTACCATTGAGATACTTGAGCAACTGAATGGCCCATACAATGTGAGTATCTGAGGGGTCGTGCATGCCTCTCGCAGCCTTGCTCACTTGCGTGCTTATGTCTGGGCGACAAGTGATACTCATGTATATGCACGTGCCAATAATCCTGGAGAAATTAGTCTTGACATAATTCCACAAACGAGAATTGTCCTTACTAGCACACTGAAAGGTGTTGCTCAACTGTTTGAGGGTGTAGACCTTGCCCTCGATAGCTGTTTCAACATCTTTAATCAAACCATCAATTTTATGGGGAACGGATAGCTGAATGAAACCGTCTTCCGTTCTCCCAGTGACATTGATACCAAGGAAGCTTTCAACATGATCGTCCCACTGGCACTCTTTAAGCTCACCATTGATGTCTATGGCGAATTCCTTGTTGAGAGCGGGTTTCAGATGTTCAATCTTTTCAGTGTGATCACCAGTGATGAGAAGATCATCAACTGACAGGGTCAGCATAACAAATTTGGTCTCTCCATTAATCACCTCGGTGAATTGGTAGAGACATGCATCGGCTGTCTGGCGTTTAAAACCTAAAGACTTAAGGAACTTGTCTATACGTAGATTCCAAAGAAGGGGTGCCTGCTTTAGGCCATAAAGGGCTTTAAGCAGTCTAAGTCCAACGCGATTTTTATTTCGCTCGGTCGGTACCAAATTAGCCTTTTGGAGGAGCTTGGCGACTTTGTGATCGTCCAGCTTCAGTCCTCTAGGAAGGCTAATATAAAGGTCCCGCTCAGAGCTAGATTGAATGAAAGCGTTGGGGATATCCACATGATGACATTTAAGTCTTCGTTTAACTGCTGTCGAAAGGACCAATCGGCAGCTGGCTAAAGCAGCCATCGGAGAAGCGGTAGTGTAGTAGTCAAGACCAATGCGTTGCATGAATCCTCTGACTACGAATCTAGCTTTGTGCTTCCAATATGCTCCATCAGCTTTCCTTTTGACCTTGAGCACAAACCTAGTTGAAATAGGATCTCGGTCATCGGGAATTATAACAATTTCAGCAAAGTTTAGAGCGCACAGGGCTGACATTTCATCCTGTATTGCTCTGAAATAACTGACTCTCTGGTCACGATCTTCATCTATAAGGTCAGCGATTATGGTTTCCTCGTAGATGATGTCTTCGTGTTTCAGAGGGACAGTAACATGCTTCTCCATGAGTCCAGGATCGATCGATAACACCACTTGAATATTCTTCATGGTGTGGTTGGTCGTTCCAAGTCCATACGTTGGATCATGCTCAATGTCACGATCACATAGCCCGTATGTCATGAAGGCGTCGAAAATGGGCTCGTCCAGATCAAGGTTGCGACCAAATTCATGTCCTTTTGAGGGACTACAGTGCTTTGCTGATGTGTCTAAGCACATGAGTTTACCGTGCTTAATAGCAAAGTATTGTGAGGTCGTAGGCGCATCACTGGCACTCCCCCAGAGCGCTTTAGCTGCGCTTGCATGACTACCGGCGATGTCGCTATCCAATGCTCCATCGGCCTGCACGAAATTGATATTGTGCAGATCCGGATCATTGAGCTCCATGCCTTGTGCCAAGCTATCCAGGAAGACATTCTGGTGGTTGCCCTGATCGTACTTGTCCATAGCGCGTGTAATACAGTTCGCGAACCATACACTAGGAGCAAATGCCGCCGTGAGCAGCATGAGAGAGTCGAGGATCACTGTACCTGGACGGGCGAGTGCATAGATTTGCTCTAGAAGATTTGCATCCCATCGTTTCAGTCCTCCTCCTGGGTGGACTGTCCCTGGTGGATTTGCTGGCGGAGGTCGACGCACTCTGGGGACACGAGCTCCCCCATCATCCGATTCATCCGATTCATCCTCAGACGAATTGTCACCGGACCTATCGTCGTCCGATGCGTTTTCGCTAGTGTCGCCATCGAGGTCTGCGCCGGAATCGGGAGAGTCCGAATGATCATCACCTGCATCACCGAAGGACATGTGATCTTCCTGATCATCTTGACCAACGTCGTCAGTCTGAAGGTTGTCAAGATCAGCCGAGAGATCGTCGGGAGGTGAAGCATGGAGGTGTGATTCCCCTGGCTCTAACATAGAGTCGATGAGACTGTCATCAATAGGACGCGCATTCTCTTTGGTCAGTGCCTTTGAGTTGTAATTATCCTCATCGTCACTGCTATCAGCAGCGCTGAAAGACGATGAGTTATATCGCGGTTTAAGTCCAGGGTGACAGTCTGATAAGTCCTGAAGACAGGTAGGAGGAGCCAGGTTGTTCTCCAAGCAGTACCGCCTACCATACTTGGTGGTGGTGAACGGCACGAAAGTGCCAACGTTGACCACCTTGCCGC